GCCTGAATTTTGCCTGAAACTCTCAGACTGAAGAAGTCTCTTGGAGGAGAGACGAAACGTTTCATTAGAGAAGAACCCGTCCAGAGGACCTACACAATTTTTCTTTTTTTTTTAAATCTGTATTGTTCCATACAAGTGTGTATTGAACCTAAAGCACTGTATTGAACGTTCGATACGGGTACATGTATTGTTGCACCCCTATATACAACAGGTTTTTGAGGAAAATATTGATCACATTGATAAAATATAGGTCACAGAGTCCTGTGTAGCAAATATGATTCAAATGGCGATAGTGTTTGAATAAACATTTTGCCTTATTTAGTGATCTTACTCACACACTTGTATTGAAGATTGTTTTGTGTTGCAGTGATACCAGAGACCCCTCATATCATTCAGATAAGTTTTGGAAACAGTTCTACGTTTGCCACTGTGCGCTGGAAAACCAATGAGCCTTCAGTGCATCTCAGACCCCAAATCAGGCTCCGTGCAAACAACAGCTCCTGGGTAAAACCATCTGTGAACATTAAATCCAACATTAGTCTTWATCAGGCTGTGACTAAACTCTCCTGATCCATTCAGGAACTGAGAGACAGATCAGAGCTCAATGAGGGACTAATGCAGTTGGACCACTTAAGACCCCTGACTGGATATGAACTTCAGATCAGAACATGCGAGTTACCATCAAGACTGACCCCAAAAACCACATCCAGCTCCATGTGGACTTCTAAACCTGTCTGCAGCAAATGGAGCCCGTCTGTGAGGAAGATGAGTCCTGGAAAAAGCAAGTGATAGAATGAAGATGGTCTTTGTGTAATAATGTCATAGTTTGTTTCTTCTTGACACTCATTGTGAACGTGTGGTCCATTTCATCAACAGGTCCGTCTCAGGAGCCCCATGTGTGGAGGATCTTAGCAGACAGGACCTCTGATGGGCTGAGAAATGTTACTGTTATATGGAAGGTACTTTTCTGCCTGGTAAACACTAGGGGTGTAAGAAAACATCAATACACTGAAATATTGCGATATTTCATTTCCCGATACTGTATCGATATTCTAAAGCTCTGTATCGATTTTTTTTAAGGTTTAAAATGTCAACTTTCCTGCCARCCGTTCATTTTTATGTTGTAGTTCAGCCTCTGACCACTAGTTGGCAGCAGTGAGCCAGMCATTTGGCTCCTCTATCTCTTTAGCGCCAGAGAGTAAGGGTAGTATTAGCATTGTAAGTAAATATTAGCTTTTCTTTTTCAGTAAGAGGTTTTTATTTAATAGAATTTTTGGACAAAAAAATCGCAATATATCGCCTTGCATATAGTATCCCAATATATCGGGATATATCGTATCGCCAAATTCTTGCCAATACACAGCCCTAGTAAACACACATTATAGTACAAAGGACTTCTGTGAGGTAGAGATTATCAAGAAACAGCTAAATACACAAAAAAGTCACACACTCCAGCTGTATGAGCTTTTCATCCCTTTGGCTTACTTAAAGGGATCCACGATTAGTTGTAACATTAGACTTTATTTAATAAACGTATATTTTAACTGTAAAATAAAGACTGTAAAAATACTGTAGGCTGTTTAGTTTTTATAATTTTTAAACTAAAAGTTTAAAACATATATTTTAACACGGACGAGCCACTTTATTTCCACACAAAGCATTCTGGGTAAATGATGACGTGGATAGGTCCTCGGTGCGAGGCTGCTAGCGAGCTATATCCACCCTGAAGGTTAATCTTGGACAATATCTGATGATCGACTCTTTTAAATGAAACCAGAGAGCGTTGACAGAGAGGAGAAGGTAGAAATGACTCAGCCTGGAACTGAAAATATGGATGGAGGACAACAGAGCTGCTTTCATCATCAAATAAAGTCTGTTACAACCAATCGTGGGTCCCTTAAGAACTGTAATGAAAATGCTCTTGTTTATCTGATTGTTAGCATTAAATGAGAAAAATGCCAAGACATTTGAGTTTAGATTAAATAACAATTCTATAATTCTTCAAAAGCAAAATTTAAACTTCTCGATATTTAAATTAGATGAAAAATGAAACCTGTCTTCTGGGTTAAAATAAGAAAATATTCCAAAATGTCCTAAACCTGCTGGTTTGTATAAACAGGTTCTTTCTTGCAGCCTCTGCCTCCAGACGATTACAGTGGTGAACTGCTGCAGTACAACATTCTTCTGGATGACGGTCATGAGGAGGTGTGTGCCGCTGCTTCCAGTCTGTGTGTGGTTCAGGTACCAGCAGGTGTTCAGGCACTGAGAGTCAGTGCAGTAACTTCATATGGGACGTCTCCTCCTGCTAATTTGGATCTCAGACATACAGGTCAGCTGATTTTACAATGTGATGCTCAAAACATGCTTTACATGTTAAAATACTGACACTTTCCTCGTTGTGTAGGTGTTTCAGTGCCTATCCTGCAAGAATTGACTCCTGTAGATAATGGCAGCTCTTTATTTGTAACATGGTCTTCAACATTTGGAGAAGAAGTGCTGCACTTTGTGATCCAGTGGGAGAATGAACCTGAGAGAAGGCTGCAGTGGATAATGCTGGGCAAAGACCAAAGAAATGCATCAATCTCAGGTATAAATATATTTTAATCTCATGAAATTGTGTTGGTCACACAAATTTTATTATTGCAAATCTGACACAAATAATAGTTTTACCCTATTGTGAATAAAATTTAAAATACATGGGTTTGACAGCTTGCATGAAAAGCCAAACGTTTTACCTTAGCTTATAAATGAGTCAAAATACAAACAGGTGTTTGTTTTTCAACCTGTGAAGAACTGTAACCTTTACAGTTTACAGAAATGACCAATTCAGCAGAGCACAAATCTCCTCCTTCACATATTTTCCTCACCGTTTTACAACTCATTGAACATCGAAGTCCAGTGGTGGGCTGCACTAATCCAAAAATTAGCTCCGCAGTTTCTAAAGCACTCATAAAAATAGTTAGGTCCACAGCTTCGAAAGCACTTATGCCATAGAAAAACTAGCGGAAGCTAAATTTAAAGCGCAAGTTCAATTTGACACTTATTGGCTGGCAACAATTCATGTACAATATATGCACAACACTGCCAACTACTGGTTTATGAACCCTTTTACAGCTTAATTCCACAACTGTCGATTGCTGGGGATGTGATTTCCTGAAACAGAACTTCGGCTCCTGGTGTAAAAAATAAAAAAATGATGAGGATTGCTAGTTCAGCTGATTCTTTGTCTTTTTCTTTTGTTTGTTGTAGATTTTTCATTAAAGAAGCATCAATAAAGTAATTTTAAAACAGTTTATTGGAAAACTGAAGCGATGCATTCTGGGTACATGACAGATTTGATTTGTGACGGGAAACGAAAGCACAGAGAACAGGAAACTATCTTCACTTCAAAATAAGAGCTTGGATTTTAAAGTTTTCAATGTAGTTGCTCCAGTTGACCACTAGATGTCAGTCTTTACCAGCATAACATCTTTAAATCATTTCTGTGTCTCTAACCCCGTTGGCCGATTGCTTTTGAGCTCCAGCTTTTAAACTTTATTTTTTTAAAAAAGGAGCTCTGATCGTAAAGTAAAATAAATCAATACATACAAAATTTTAGTATGGATTACAAACGTTAACTATTTTTGCTGTTGCCTTCCTGCTACGTAAGCAGACACAAAGCATTGTGGGAAATCAGAACCGTGACCCAAAGCAACAGTCAGCAGGATGTATACCTTCACAATAAGTGTTTATCTGGGAGGGGTGCTGTTGGATAGATCACATGTGTTGTGATTCATTGACAGTCATACCTTCTGCTGTTCAACATAATGATGACTGGTAGATAATTAGTTATTAGCAGTACTGCATTTTAATTTTAGAAATTGCAATTCTGCTTATGAATTATACAAATTAGTAAGACCGCTAAAGGGCAAATGAAATATTTCGGTTTGCAATTAGCAGATTTGCGCTTTAGTGGGCTGGTGCCCACCACTGCCGATGTCATTCAATTAGTTCAAACTCCGTTATGTTAATTCTGATGACCACACAGAAACAGCCTGTCCCTAATATTTAGAAGCAACTGAGGACAGTTTGAAATCATTGAAGCACCTGTTTGATATAAATCTTCACTTAGCAACAAGTCTGCAGGTTTAAAATGTGTGAGACCGTGTTTTTCTTTACCAGCATGGATGGAGGAGATGGTCCAGGACTGATAAAACTGAGAGTCAGAGGTAGAGGGTCCTGAGGAAAAGGGGTCCAGCTCAAGTTTTAGAAGCAATTCAGGCAACTGTTATTGTAATTTTGTTCAGTTCTGTGTCTTGTCTTTGTCTCCCTCTTGTGTTTACTGTCTGTGTTCTCCCTTTCATACTACTTGTTTAACCTGTCTTTTGTCACCACTTCCTCATCCGGTCATTGTGCGATATGCCTGGTGCATTCTCATTTTGTTTATATTTAGTTGTTTAGTTTTTGCGGCCATATCGGCCTTTTTTCTTTAATTAAAACCTTTTTACTTTGGTTTCTCATGTCTGCCTACTAGTGATGAACAAATGAAGCTTTTATGAAGCGCTGAACCAGTTGGGCCAAATGTGTCAAAAATAGGTTCATTTGTTGAATCTTCAGTTACAGTGACCTCTGATGGCAATTTGTAATTCTGCTGTCAAATTATGCTTTATGCTTTTGGTGGCACACACCCATGAATTTTAGTGTTAAAGGGATCCCTGATTAGTTGTAACAACACTTTATTTCATAAATATATATTTTAACTGTAAAATAAAGACTGTAAAAATACTGTAGGATGTTTAGTTTTTATAATTTTTAAAGTAAACGTTTAAAAATATATTACACGGACAGAGCCATTTTATTTACACACAAAGCATTCTGGGTAAATGATGATGTGGATAGGTCCTCAGCACGAGGCTGCTAGCAA